TGATCCAAATTTACATATATATTATGAACATATGAGGAACCATATGAAACTGTTGCAGGCGATACGTGGCCCACAGGCTACAAGTTTGAAATCTTTGATTTAGAGAATCAGCAAGAGGAACATACAGTAAGTACCTGCTCTAAATTCATGTGTACAGTAACAAACCGACTGATCACTTTTCCTTCTCTATTGATAAAAATTTTCCTTCTTTATTAAATGTATGGGCCTTTCTTGTGGAGTAACACTTTAAGCATGTCAGCTGTGGCCTAGTTACTTATTGTGGCTGAATTGGGGGTGATACTGATTGACCTCTCGGCTTCTCTCCTTTCTCTTTTCCTCACATTCTGACCTGTGACCATCTGTCCTGTTTACTGTATCCCATCTATTTTTAATTTTGCCTTAATTATTTTAATTTTACTTATTGTTTTATTTTTTTATGCTTATTGCTCTACATATGTAATTAATATTAATTATGAAATCTGGCATTATGCGCTCCCCCTGCTTATTTGCATATATATTACTAACTCATTTCGCTTTTTAAAATAAATTACCATTCATGTTTTCTTTCCCCTTGCCTTCATTACAATAAACTCCCATTCCATTTGTCACCTTTGTTTCTTTTCCTGCCTGTTTTGTGTACCAATTCGCCCATCCACATTTGCATTGCACTGTGCCTGCCCAGTGAATCCCCTGTCTACTCAGTCGTGCCAGGGACTCCTACTCCAGGATAATACTGTGTCCACTGAGATACGCACTCTCCTCTCCTCCTACTACAGTGACAGGTGAAGTAACAGTTACGACAGCAATCGTTTGCTTCCCAATCTTTTTTTTTAGGATGAATGGGTCATTACTGTATTATACTTTTAGTGAGCTAATTAGTTATCCCCTAAAGTAATAGTACAAAATTTTATTTTAAAATCACAATTAACTGTCTGAGACAGCACTGGCAACAGCATAGACTAATAACGACTCACCTGTCCTCAATGACTCTGAATAATGTAAATAAAAACAATCCTGTGTTATTTTGCTATATATGAAGGGAATTTGAATACCAGTCAGTCAATTTAAAGTCAGATAAAGGAGAGTTTTCAGAAATACCTGTTGTTATATCACTATATAGTTATCTGAATGTTATATATATATATATATATATATATATATATATATATATATATATATATAAATAAAATATGTTAACGTTAAATAAAGCAAGGGTCGTCAGCTAGTGACACCCTCCCCCCATGTACCATGACACTATGAGATTCATATTGCTGTCAACAGTTTCATATTACAGATGCTTATCTGAAGGAAGATTTCACTAAACTCTCCTCCCTCTAGCTTTTTTTGTGACTGCAACTTGTTTTTTTTCCAGGATTTTTTTTTTATGCCCACATAGTTGCATGTTCACTAGCTAAGACATGTTTCTGTTTTCACAAGCCGTTAAACAGTGTTGCACCCCGAGAGGAGTTTTGTCCTGTAGGGCATTAGTTTTAACCAGGATGGTTACACCCTTTGCAAAGCTGAAGGGCTGTACTGTCCTATTTTCTGTCTTTCTGGTGATATCAGAGAGCTCCGCATCACAGCAGTCTGTGAAGTTACTGGTGACATGCTGTAGGCAGGGAAACCTGAACAGGTTTAATTTCTGTCACATTTATGTCATTTATTGACTATCCTTAAAAAACCCCGGGATACTTCAAATAGTTTTGAATTAGCGTCTCACCGTGTGGATATGTGTGAGAACTATTTGCTATGTAAACAAGGGAAGACAAGATCATAAACTTGTTATTATTTGTTTGGGTGAGTCTGTTTGTCAGGTATTTTATGTCAAAAGTTGGTGAAGGGTTTTGTCAACCAGACAGGCATTCTGTCTAAGGTTATACACAAACGGTAGGTTAATGCAGAGAAAGGATGTTACCACCCAAACCATAACAAAGCAGAGAAACCAGCAGCAGAAGATGCTCACAGACCAGGTAAACTTCAGTGATAGAAAAATCTTTGTGGTTGTGGTTAGTGAAAAAACTGAAATTACTGAAAAAAGATTGTGACTATTATCAATTTAGGTACCATGACATTAATGGAATTGAATTGAAATGAATGATTAAGGTAATCATGCAGGGTGGCATGTTAGTACAGTGGTTAGCACCGTTGCCTCACATTCTGGGACTAGGGTCTGAGTCTCTGGCCTGGCTCCATGTGAGTGGAGTTTGCATGTTTTCCCTGTGTAATCATGGGGTTAATTGGTGTTGCCAGATTGCCCATTGGTGGGTACATGTCAGTGAGTGGTGTGTGATTGTGCCCTGCGGTGGGTTGGTGCCCTGTCTTGTGCCTATAGTCTCTGGGAAAGTCTCCAGACCCCCCCATCCCAAAGTTAAGAGTACAATTTCAGATATATTTTAATATATTTTATACCACGGCAATGTTGAATTCTCAGACCTGAAGGGTGTTGATTAATTTTCTATGACTTGACACATATGACCAGAATCACAGTAGTAAATCAATGTCCGATTATAATCTTTAATTCTAACTAATGTTACTTTACAGTAACGTAAAAGGCAAGAAATTGCTGCAAATCACTTAGAGAACAACAATGCTTCAGGCTGAGAACCAGGACCTGTGGTCAGTGATTAAATACCAAAATGAATTACTGATGAAATGTATTTGTTGTCATACTTTACAGTCCTGTTTAACCTGCCTAGGTGAGATGGTATGCAAGTCTGGTTTCAATAATCGGTAAACACTAAATAAGTTGGGTTTCACTTATAACGCAGCTGAATAACAAAATGTATATGTATGCGATTTGACTTTCCCTGCCGGCCCCTGGAGGATGGGCTCCCCCTTTGAGTCTGGTCCCTCCCAAGGTTTCTTTCTTCTAGGGAGTTTTTCCTTGCCACTGTCGCTTATGGCTTATTCACTGGGGGCTTTGGGAGGGGATGCTATAAAGCTCTTTGAGACAAAATGCCCCGAAGATGGTGGCGCAGGAGCTAGTGCTATCGTTCGGCTGGGTTGCAGGTTCGAGCCCTGGTTCCTCTTGATCCCATCAAAGTGTCCTTGAGCAAGACACTGAACCCCAAATTGCTCCCGGTGTGCAGGTTGGTGCCTTGCATGGCAGCCTCCGCCACCGGCGTGTGAATGTGTGTATGAATGGGTGAAAATGTGAGGCATGAATTGTAAAGCGCTTTGAGTACTCGTAGGAGTAGAAAAGCGCTATATAAATGCAGTTCATTTACCAATGTAATGTTGTGATAACGCACTATACAATAATAAATTTGTTTGTGTTTTTAAAATGTGTACTGGATGGCTCGTCGTGCATTAACCATCACTTAATGTACAATGCAGCGTTTGGTCGATCTGTCACTGGTATCATCACATCAGACATTCATTTTGTTATAAATTACTTAATTTTGAATTTCAATGTGTCTGTATTTAATAAATGAATTTCTTTTAAATAATTATCACCAATGATTACTTATAGACACATTTTTTAAAAATACTAAAATATAGATCTGTTATACATTTTTAAGGTATATTTATATTCCACAAAAAAAATCCTTGCAGACCAAGCATGCAACTTCAACAACTGAACGACAATATATCATTAAAAAGAACAAAAACCTTATCAAACAGGACTATAATGCCAGTGACACCATGTAACACCAGTACAGGAACAAAAGATTTTATTGTAATTTTATTTTGCAAAATAGAAAATTTTCACAGACAGAATATTAATAAAGATGTATTTTTTATTTTAATTAGCTTTTTAAGTGGCCTGATTTACAAAATGACATATTTTTGAATGTAGTACAATGCTAATGATGTATATAGGAAAAATGAACGTTTTAATACAATTTCATAAATTTGACATTTTATATTAAAAATGGGTTCAAATGCTGAAATTTGGTTGTGTGATGAACTGTTTTACAGGTGTAGAGCCAGTATGAAACATGATGAAAACAGAAAAACCAAACAAACCAAAAGTGTTGTTTAATCATCACCTGTATGAATGTAGTACATGCTGACTATGTTTTTAAGGCCTGCATCCTCGTCTTTACCTCTCGTTCATTAGAATCTCATTAAAATCATGAAAGATGTCAACAAAGTTAAACTTGAAAACAAGCAGCAAAATGTGCAATTGCAGTTGTTGTTCGTGGTTAATTTTATGTGTTAAACTCCTTGTAGAATACTCCTGGCCAGTTTGTTATTTTGCCCATATGATCTTTACCTTTCGTTCGACACATAAAACTGCGGAAAAATAAACCAAACTGTATGCAAATTCATGATGGGTTTCCTCTATAGGGTAAATTGTGAAGAAGATGCAACGGTGAAGGGCCACTGGTTGCCAGTCAGTAATCATGATCACATTTCCCATAGAAACATTGCGACGGAGTGCTGTAATGCGACAGACGCCGACACTTCTGTCATCAGTGCTACGATATTCTCTAAGGTTGACTAAGTTGTGCAATATGCTTGTGTACCCGGTGAACTACGTCAGCAATGGTACGCAGAGGCCTGTCTTGCCGATGGGCTCCTTGTCCCCATCCTGCTGTGATCACAACCTATACCAATGCTAAGAATTTATGCTTTGTGGGGCCTGGAATGTTCTGCAACTTCACGTTTTGATTGAGATAGCTGTCTACAGCTGCCTTGCACATTTGTCAAGTTGTCGGAAGGAATAATGTTTCTTTTTAGAGTCTCTTTTCATTTCCACAGATGCGAACCAGTGTTGAGTTGATTTAGGGACACATTGCTTATCCTGCAATTACCCCTAGCAGATATTTGCTGTTTTATGAACGTGTGGCCGATGGAATGTATTGTATCTTTAGATAGGTTATGTAACCAAACCAGACCATCAATAAGAGGATGAGTGTGCAGATAATTTTGTCTAATTTAGTACATAATGTACTTTCAAGCTTGTGAATGATAGGCTTGGCTATGCATTGTACTTTCTTTGCCATCCCTGGAAGAAATACAATTGTTAAAAAACAAGCCTTTCTTCTTTCTAGTTATTGACACGTCAGATGACATTGGGACGGTGACAGACATTCTGGCGCGGCGCGTGAAGGAGGAGTCATTTCTGAGCCACCCTGAAGGACCCCTTCATTGGATGTCCTTGTTTGGGGAGTCTCCACCCCCCTCCCATTCTCTCCAGGGAGCTGGGCTCAGCCCTCATCTCTACTGTCGCAGCCCTCGTGACCCGGGCCGCCATCAGCGTGGCCAGCTTTCAGACAGCCCCGGATCCCCGCTGTTCCCCCGCTCACGCCCCCGCACCCTCTCCCTGGATGCCAAGCTCAGCAGCCTTAGGGGCCGCGGCTATGGGAGCTCGCCGGCTCAGGCCCCTCAGCCGATCCCGTCCTGCTCCAGCTCGACCTCCAGCCACAGCTCCAGTGAGGGCAGCACCGCTTCAGAGACTGACAGCGTGCCCTTCCCTCGCAGTACCACAGCACGCAGCAGCCTGAGAAACCTGCGGGCAAAACTTGACCCTCGTAACTGGCTGCAGAGTCAGGTATAATGCTCCCCCCTCCCAAAAACCATGTGGTGTATACCGGAAGATGAACTGAATGGCTGCTCCATCGTGTACATAAAATTGGTGGTCACCTGACCATTATGTCTCCCTTCATCTGCTCTCTATTTCAAAAAGCCTGATTCTAACAGAAAGAAATAGAAACAGAATCAGTACATTTCAAGATTCCAGTGGTGCTTTTTAAATGACTAACATTTTTTCCCCCTTTGAAAAAAAAAATCAAATACACACTCTTTATATGAGTACATATAAACACAGATAAAAAAACGACTTTGCCTGCTATATAGGGAATGAAGATAACTATGTTCACTCGCCTGCATAATTTTGAAAGGAGTTGGGTAAAAACTCCACAAGTCATGGACCTTCTGTATATTTGGACCTCAAAACCGGCACAACTGCATTGATTCCCACTACTTAATGAACGCATCAAATCCTTTTTAAAATAAATGTGTAACATATTTAAACCAAACCGCATCGTCAATGCCTCAATTAAAAATGAAATGAACAAATAAAAAAGAAACGTACAACAAGTATTAGATGTTTGTGACTATAAATTTATTTTCCTGACTGTTTTTGGACAGCACATCAGTCCCCCTGAAATTTCAGCTTGCAATCTTGTTCAGATGCACCTAGAACAACATGGCACTCATTCATCTCTGAAAATACAAGTTGTGGGACGGAAAGTGGATTTCAGGGATGAAATTATGTCATGCAAAGACCCTGGTGCCCAAAACCTTTGAGTACCATCACTGAAATGTTTCCATAATGTGAAGCTTCTTAATCTGCAAACAGAAAAATAACTGAAATGTTTGACAAATGTATGTCTTGCCAAATGTTTTTTTCTAATTCAATAAGGACAATGCTAGTCTGTTCTGTAGTCAGCATTTTGAAACAGGACAAAATCAGGCATATTGTTGGTTAAATATTGTTTTGGCTTCTCATTTGCTGAAGCAGTGGTGTATATTGATGTATATTGTCTAAAAGGTACAGTAGTTATACATCTTTTAAACAACACTGTATGTACATAGATTCTGGATTTTTCCTACCTGATCCTGTCATTATAAAATATGTCTTGCTTCGTTTTAGTATTTCCCTTAAAGTGTCCCTGTTTTCATCTTATTTTCCATGATCATTTAATAATCAGTGCAAACACAGAACTAATTATACAGTTAGAGAAACAATAAACGGTACTTCTGCAGAAGAATCCAGTTATTCTTATCTAACACTTACAGTAAACACACTAAAGTCCCAGTGGTGAAAGACTGACAGATTCATTCTTCATAATTAGCTATTTTTCACGGGAGCACACAAAGGATAGATAGCCACGTGGTGAACAGCAGGAAAGTTACAGCTGTAGAGAGTGATGGGAAGCCTTATAGGGTATTTGAGGCATTTATTTGTGCGTTTCTGTTTTCAGCAACCTGTGGGTGAAAAATGATCACATCAAGTTAACATCACAAGAGTTACTTATTGTAGACTTGCACTGTAAACAAAACCTAAGAACTTTAAATAAATGAAGATATTTAAATATCTTTAAATATCCATTGTCAATGACAAATCTTCAAAGACATAAATTTAGTTTCTTTTGCAAGGACAATCAGTTACAGATATTCTAAAAGCCATTTTAGTAGACTTTATGCTCTGTTCAAGAGAGTATTCAAAAGCATTTAAAGTAGTGTTAAATTATGTGATGAAGCATGTCTTAGACAATGTAAATTACATGATCAAGGCTTACAACGATACTATTATTGGTTTGTTTCCACACTTCCATAACTATTCTTCCTTTTTTTAATCACTGGGCTTGTTCATCTATGCCTAGTTAATTTGTTTTCTTTGTTTGACAAAGCATTTTAAATAATCAACCTACTCAAAGAAAGCCATTTAGATTATGTGGGCATTTAATTTGGTGTGTTTTTACGTTGATGTTAAGTGTCATTGTCAGTGTTATCATGTGCTTATTCAATGTTTAAATATTATTCACAATTAAATGGTTAACTTTCATGAGTGTTGCAGTTGATTGACTAACCAACATGGTTTAAAACAGATGGTTCATTGGGGCCTTACTGCTGGAGGAAATCGAAAGGATAAACTGAAATCTGTGTATACTGTTATGCAAGGAGAGAAGAACCTATGGTACTATTTATGTTAATTTTAAACAGTTCTCTCAGTTTCCTTCCCGTTTTGCACTAATCACTTAATGACAGAATTTTAGAAGATTTACCATTAAAGACAGGATATACCAGTATTCTTTCCTGAAGTCATAACTGATCATTGTGGGATAACCAATATTCCTTTTTTTGTGGTTACCCACTGAGCCACCCTGCCACACCTCAAGTATAAAAGTATGTGACACTGATGTATTCTATACTGATTTATATTTTAAACTCCTTGTCAGGTCCGATCGAGTCCAAACTCAGATGTTTTCTCGTTATAAGGGTTATCATAGATTTAACCAAACCTTTTCATCACTAAGCCTTCACCAGTGTGTTACAGTAGTTATATAATATTCACTTTTTATATAATCCTGCTTGGATGAACGGTGATTCTTAACAAGGTGTTGCAGATTTTATTATTTGCATTTCACTTACCTAGCAGATGCTTTTATCCGCGTGCCATTGGCAATTCAGGATCAGCCAGTCCCTGGAGCGTCCGGATGTTTGGGCCTCACTCAAGGGTCCAGTTGTGAATACAAGACTTAAACTGGTGACCTTTGTTCACAGGCACAGTATCCTAACCCACTGAACAACAGACCTTCCTATTCCTTTCATTTCTGTCTGTGGCTTCAAAAGTTTAAAATGAGTCTCCTGAAATTACCATACAGGCTGCTTGTAGAATAAGCTGCCATTCATCAGTTACTGTTAAGCATTAAATATGTTCAGACTTTTAAACATTTTATATGTGCATAACAATAAACTATACAATGCCTATTGATGTTTGCCATAAAGGAGAAGAAAAAGTAAAAAAAAATAACAACAGAAACCAGGTGTCAATGCAATTGTTATAATTATAAACTGGTTAGCCTTAAGGTCCTGCCCACCTCTTAGAGCTCAGAGCTGTTGTTAATTTATGCGCTATAGATACTAAGCTGTAATAAAATGCGCACAATGAATGCACTACCCTACCTTAATAGAATATTGCCTCAGTCCTGAGTAATTAGTTCTAAGTTATAGTACTTGGAATTTGAAATATATTTGTGATTCAAGTACACACCCTGTCTTTAACTTGTCATTAAATTAAAAAACAATACAAAACATGTGAAGTCAACATTTTTCTCTTCTAATGAGTACCTGAATCTGAAAACAATTTTCTGAGAATGAAAAATCAATTAATATCAATTTTTAAGAAAATTCGTAGGTGTATCTATATAAATCAATTAAACATTTAAACACCGATCTGCTCATATGGCATTTTTTCTTTTTTCTTGTTACAGTTGTGCTTCCAGTCTGGTCCCTATATTCATTACTCATCCAGCGTATGTTTAATATTTAGTGAAACTTAAATCTAGGTACTTCACTGAGGTCAACAAAATATTTGTAATATTTGTTAATATTCATTCATGTCAGTTTATTGGAATCTAAAATTAGTGCCGTAACTGTAAATGTTAACCTAGTAATATGACATATCAGTTAACTAAAAAAATAGGTTCATATAGATGCATATAGTTCAATTTAAAATACATAAAAAGTACATAATTCTGATTTTAAAGTATTTAAATTCTTATTTGAAGTAAATTTACCCTGTTAGTATGATTCCTGTTTTGCATGTATTTCAGCCAAAAAACTAACAATTTATATTTTATGTTCAAAATGTGTTATTCCAGGGCACAAAACACAGCGATAAATAACAAAGTGTGTTGGGGAAAAAAAACTACATTTTCCTTTCATGTTGCATGATGCAAAATTAAATATTACAAAGTCAAATTGAATGCTTTGCTATTACCTTGCTATTATTACACAAAATAATGCAGGATAAAAGGCCAATTGTTTTTTTTCCCCAGGAGCAGAATCTAGAGTCACCTGGAAAGTTCACAGTAATTTGATCATATACTTATAGTAAAGTAGACATGACTTTTAGAGATTGTGTTTCACCTTTCAGAATTTGGGAGTGTGGCATGTTGAAACAGTTCCGAAGATATAATTCTGAGAACTGACAATTTTGCATGCTTCACAAGATTGGATGCTGCACTGGGTTTTAATTTCACACATGCACGCACATACACGCACGCACACACACACACACACACACACACACACACACACATGTTGGGTAAACATATCCTTATGGGGACCGCTCATTCATTTCTATGGAAAAATGCTAATTATGACAACCTTAACCCCCACCCTGCCCTAACTATAATCATAAGTAACCAAGCAAAATACAAGAGTTTTTGCATTTTTAGTTTTTTCATTGCAGTCACAGATTTCTATTAAATTGAGTTTCCTGGTCCCCATAAAGAAAAAAAAAAACGGGTATTCATCACATTTTGGGGACATTGTGTCCCTATAAGGTAGGGTATACCCGCTCACACAAACACACACACACGCACACACTCACATGGTAGGTTTCCTCCATAGAGCAAATATAGAGTGTGTGTATGTTAAGAAACAACAAGCAAGTTCATGTATGTTTCATATTTTTATGTTTATTTTTTATTATGTTTCCTTTTTGATATACTCCTATATATAAAGATTTCCCATTGTATTCATATACATGGATACATATATAGTAATTGATGTTTTTTATTGATCCCTGTTGGGATATTCTCTTTATACCTCCACCATTTTAGAATGAGCTTGATTGTGCAGGGTGGCTGACTGTCGTGGTGCTCAAGGAACTGGGGGTCAAGGGCTTTACTCAAGTACCCAGAGATGTGCTGAAACCAGGCTTGAACCACTGACCTTCTAATCACAGGTAGGGAGGCTTGGCCCCACTGAGCCGCATGCTGGTCCCCAATGTAGCTTTATTCATAAAAAAAAACACACTTGACGTGAAAGGCACTCAAGAGAAAAGCCTAAAGGAAAAATATTAAACTTTTACATTAAGTTCACATTTTGCCATATGTGGTAGCGTTTGGCTTCAGTAGGAAATGTTTATTGCTTGTTGTTTCTTAATAAAAATTTATATTCCTTTTATATTATTCTAATGGAATACATGCATGATCTTTCCACATTCAGTTGGTTGTTTAGAGAAAATTCAGTGAGATTAGCTTAACTATGTTCTCAGAACACAAAGTGAAAGCATCAACTGAAAAAGGATGTTTCCTTTTCAAAATACTAATTTCAGTTGTGTGTAAACACTGTCCATGATTCAATTGAGTTCATTCAAAGAATGCATAAAATTAAAATGTTCATTCAAAACATTCATTTAATATATATTGTACATCAATATAGGACATATACGTCTAATGACACATTTGACACTAATGACCCTAATGGTACATTTAATATAGATTTTACTTGAATGTTTGTAATTTCATATGTGTTTTACATTTATACAGAACCTATACTTAAAAAACTTTTTCAAAGGGGGCCCTAACCTTCAAATGATCTGCTGGAATAATCTGTGAAAAATACACATTTGTTAAAACTGTATACAGTATTTATCATTCACATAAAAGGTCATTATTTTCCGTGACATAGTGGTCAAAAACAATTAGCATTACCAAATTACCTGTGGGTGTGCTCTGGTATTAGTTGGTTCCCGGTTCCCCATCCAGTGTCATTGCCTACCTTCCTCTCGTAGCTTCTGGAATAGACGTGCAACTCCCGCAACCCTGAATATGACAAGTGGTTACAGAAAATGGATGGATTACATATTTATTAACCGAATATGGTATGCTAGTGGTTAAGTCAATGAGTGTATTTAATGGTTCCTTCAAGTACTGGGGTGACTTTAGCAGTGGTTTTGAAATGGCTAAGCTAACACACTTTGACAGATATCAATATATATATCATTTTACACCAACACGAAGATCAGTTCAACATAATTTTCTTTGACTACCTAAGACTTTTGCATAGTACTGTATATAAATAATTAGCAAAAGCAGAAGTGAAAGACCATTACAGTCATCTTCCAGTTTCTTTTGCCTGTCACAATTACAGTAAGTGTTGATTTGATGTGACTTTTTTTTTTTTGAATGAAGATAATTGCCATCGGGGCTAAAATACTCGGGCCTCGAGTGATCGGACCTAATGATGCCCACCCAGTCAACTTTTTTCTCTGTAAACAGTAAGTCACTCCATGCGTAGAAACATTTACTTTCTACCTATTTAGCAATGAGTGAATCCTTCTTAACTCAAAATTTCGATTCGAGTCCTCTGCTGAGTTGTTAGCTGTGCCTTTCTAGCCATTACAAGCATAAAAATAACAAATATTAATGAAAGATTCTGACTTATCAGTTGTGATACAGTGTAGAGGATTGAAACAAGGAGCCGACAATGCATTAAACTTGTCACAAACTGACCTGAGACAAGGCAGACAAGTGGCTATTGTTTAGTTTATTAAGACACAATCAAGAGAGGCCATTACATTAGTTAATAGAATGTGAATGTCAATGCACTAAATACAGACCTGATATGTCTTCAAAACCAATAGCTTCAGCCTTTGTGGCTAAATAATGTGTTACTACAAGCTGTAAAATACTATAAACATTCAGGTACATTTGTTTTAAGTATTTCTAATATTTTCTTGCAGTAAAAGTTTCACAAAGCAGTGTATTGTTTGTTTTTTTAAAAATATGAGGGTGGTCCCATCTGGTCTTTACTGTGTGTGTGTATTTATATCTCACAATGATACCTGGAAATCTGCTAAATTTATTCATGTTCAAATAGCTCATAGTTCAACTACACAACAGCACCATTGTAATAATAAACAACATGCATTTCACATTGACTGGACCAGAGGGTGCATACTTTCTTTTGTTAGACATGTTGATATTCTTTGTAAAATACCATGGAATTTTTTTGCTTGAGAACAAAGAAAGCATCAATTGCTGTAACTGC